TTTCGCCCTTCGATCGGGCCGCTATAATCGTTTATAAAACGCCGAACGATAAACGAGCGATAAATTGGAGCCCGCCCGGGCTGATCATCTTTCATCATTAAGCACGTAGACCGCGCCAAGTTCCGCGAGGAACGTAAGACGATTCCCCTGCCGAGGAGCTTATTTCGGGGTGTCGCGGACGGGAAGGTGCAAACGAACCGACTGCAATTATGCGTTTACGTGACTTTTCCGTCGCTTCTGATTACCTCGCGAAAATTCAGCGTTTCTCGAAGAAGCGGCGAGAGAGCGCGAGGCAGCCAGGGAGAAAAGAAGACTACCGCTGTGCGCTTCGCGAGCGCATAATCGCCCGTGGAAATTAATTCCGCGATTTCGTTAGGCGAGACAATCGATGAGGCAGATCACGTCCCGTCACTGAGTCCGCCTTAGGCACTTAGCACGGAACGTTTACATAATTTCACCGAAAGATTGGCTCGTAAGCGGCAAGCGCGTACTTCCTGTTTCTCTCTTAGTAAATTTTACCGAAATTTTACGCGATTCATTCGAGCGGTCGCATGCCGCGGCGAGCTGAATCACCAAAATGTTGTTCTCCGAAGATCCAATTACACCTTGTCCGACCTTGTCGATAACGCGACGGATAATAAACCGGATACAGACCGTCCGTTGGAAATAAGAGCAAACACGTGAGACCTGACGCGCGGACGCGACGTTGTAGGCCGTTGGCGGTGCGCATATAAACGCGGAAAATTCTGCCGCGTCCTGCTGCATCGGACCACTGCAGACGGAACACTCGGTGCGTATGATTGCGTTCGGTAATAAAGAATTATTCGACACAAAGCGCGGTGAACGATGGGATAAAATAAAACGAACGCGAGCGGGCTTAAGCGGCGAATGCACGCGGCGGTAATTAGATCCGTGCGTAACGCAGTGAAAATTACGCTCGGCTAAGTTTTTCATCAATATACCAACGCCCGACTGCATACACGCGCGTTGGATGTCTGCTAAATGGAGTAAAATTTCTCTTGGTACACGTTAATAAATTCAGGCGGCGGGCGGCGCCGGTGGTATCGGCGGCCCCAACTCCAAAGTTATTACATCACCGTAATTCGCGCGGATGGAGCCGGGCTGCGTTTTCGATCGAACGAAGCGAGCGGAAAGATTCGAGCTCGCGCGCGCGCGCGCGCGCGCGCGACGATACTATTTGCTCAGCGAGGACTCGCGATCGACGATTAATCGCCTCTCGGCGGATTCTCGTTTACGTCGAGCTCTCTCCATTTATAGCGGCTCATACTTACATACTCGAGTAAATAATACAAGCACGTGGCGTCCGCCACGGACAGAAACGACGAACATCGAGGAATAAAGCGGATCGAGTTGATGGCCTTTCATTATTAAACGCTCTCCGTACGGCCACGTACGGGACGACACCGTCGTGTACGAGGAATTCCGCAAGGCTGGGTAGTCGAGAACGACTTCCACCCGGGAGAACTCACGTCGCGCGCGCTCTAACGCGCGCGAGCCGTACGTATAACGTTCTATCGAGCGCGCGCGTCAGCACGCGCGCACGACCTCAATCGAAGTTCATCCCCGTACGAGGCCGGAGTACTCTCCGCTCACGGACACAAATAATGCGACCAATTACGCGGTAACTTTCCTCATTACTTTATACACCGACGACACGGCGCGAGTGCGAGCCTCCCGCCAGCTAATTCGCCAAAGTCGCGATCCCCGTCGGATCGTATAGGTTTTGGGCCACGCGGTTGTGTGTGTGTGTGTGTGAATTTTCGATAGTTATTTCATTAAGCTCTCATGGGTTCGTCGTACAATGATTCACGAGCAGCTGTGCTGTCGAGCGCGAGATACAGATAAGACTCGGGTCTTGTCTTCCAGGACTTGAGTCGTCGGTCTTTGGATTGCGACCCAATTGGGTCAGCGGGAAAGTTCAGTTTGATTTTCGACAATCCCCCAACGGCAATGCGAGTGCTGTCAAATGTTGGCGAAAGAGCACATAAAATGAGGTCGATTACTCGACTGATGAATTATTCGCTTCCACCGAGTGAGGTAAAGTCAGATTTAACTCAAATATCGAACCGCTCTCTTCTGACCGCTGACCCAATATCTCTTCTTCAAGGTATTTGTCCACCATCTACTGGATATTTCCTCCCTCCCTCCCTCCCTCTTTCTCTCAGACTCTGGTCGTCGGAGAGCACTTCGTAACTTTCTCTGCGAATCTAGTCTTCTAGTCTTTCCGTAGTTCGAATAGTTCAGAAGCCGCCGAACATATGACGTTTTAAATGAGCTTCCACCCCATAGGATTCTCTCCTCTCGAGCTTTCTTTCTCCTCGAAGCTTCTTTTCCCGCCGGCTCGTGAGAAGAATTCATATCGTGATCGGATAATCGCGTAACGCAAATGTTCGACTGAATCGCGACTTGAGGAGAAAATCGCGTTAGCTTGTGTTCGCGCGCTCGCGGCGATATTCTTGCTTATCATTCGTCCCGTAAACGCGGAAACTAAAGACACGGTCCGTCGGCTCGACCATTAAACTCGCGACACGGTGAACTTGAGTTGACAACGCACTGTTAAATTAATAACCTGTTGTAACCAAATTAATGATCCGTCCATCCGCGAACGGGAATCGTAGTATCCAGTAGCTGCGGTTAGCGGAACGTGGTTGGGGCATACCTACAGTTATTGGTTCCCGTCCAATTATTGGATCTTCTTCCCCCTCTCCTGCGCCGGTTTACACTCGGGTAGAATATTCTATTGTGTAACGCAGCTCTGAACGAAGGTTCCCTGCTTGGTTGATCTTGCGAGGAACGCGTGAGTCATTCTCCAGTGCGGCACAATTTTAAGTCCTCACAGAGGTGCCTCTTACTTTGAGAATTTCCAGTCCGTCTCAGTGCGCTAGAGTGCACCGAGCTGCAGTCGCATTGTATCGCACGCATTGGAAAGACTGGGACGTCAGCTGGGCGCTATATATACGCGCGGGATATTTATTGCTTTCGATTTGGCCGTATCGTCTCTCGCGCCTAACGTCGTTTCGGGCGTAAGTACCTTTGAGCGTAGCCGATGATGCGCGCGCGTGTAATATCCCCGGCGGCTGAAACAATGCTGCGGAAACACGCTTGTATTTCATGCGACAATATTGCGCGATATTTAATTCTCAGAGCACTAATGAAAACGCGCCCACGCGACGGTTAGCCGCTGCAATTAGATTGAAATTTATTTTCCAGCCCGCTGCCATTAGTACTGGAATATTATTTCATTGTTCCACCAATAACCGGCGTTGTGCGCGAATTACATGAAAGCGGATTTTCACGCTCGCGACTCGCTTTATATTCCTCCGATATCTCTCATTAAAAATCAAAATTCGCCGCGCCGCGCGCTGATATGCGCGCGCTTTATCGACGAGCGCTATCGATAATCAGAACGCGTGTAATTTCTACGCACGCGCTTTCCTTCAGTCGTGCGTAAAATATCAGCCCTCGGCTGGAAGTACGATCCGTACGATCTTCGTTTCGCGGTAGAGTCGTGTAGTCGAACGTTACGTATAATCCCCTTCTTCTTATTTCGTCTCGAGACCAAGTAATTATCCTCTGCCCGTATCGTGTTTTGCAAATCTGAGCCTGGAAACGTTTATACCGGGAAACCGACGCCCCTCTCGCCATTTTCCACGGGCTTCGGATGTGTTTCAGAACAGCCAAAAATAAGAGACGCGTATTTTTTACACATGCTGTCTCTCACGTTGAAACAACCCCTCAGAAAAAAAGTTCATTCAAATCGATACATCGTGTGCGGATATTTTGGAAACTGGGCGGGCGGCGTGTGAGAAAAAGTATTGAACGTAAATTTCACGTACTTGGTGTACCTCACACAATTTCGCAGTAAAATTCTTCAAAAACGTCACGTGACAATCGAGAGAAAAATCTTCCGACGAGTCTAAACGCACAGTTACAAAACAGAGCGCCAAACTGCGACGAAAACTTCGATCCGCAACATTTTGCGGACAATAAATCTCATGAAATTGCGCTCGAAGGACATCATCGACTGAGAAAGCACATTGAGAAGACGCAAGTACCTCATTTCTACTCGCTTCGCACACACTAGGAAAAAAAATTTAGTATCTCTAACCAAACTGTTTAGTTGAGGCATTTTTTAATAGCAAAAACCAAACATCTTGTGTTACATAACAAAATATTTAGTTGTCTCAACTAAATATATTTTTCTGCCTTGTTCTCTGGACCAAATGATTTTGTTCTTAGACTTCATATATAAAAATTAAGCATTTTAGTTATTTTATCCGTAAAAATTACATAAAATACAAAATATTATTTTACATAAACTAAAATAATGCCCAATGGATACTATTTTGTGTGATACTTTCTGTGCACGAAAATTTAGATTTTATATATTATGAAAAAATTATAGTATTTTTAACAAAATTCATATAGTTAAAGCTTTTTGGTTGCTATAACAAAAGTATTACGTTATACGAACAAACCGTAATCAAACAAGATATTTGTTTACAGGAACTAAAACACTTTTGATGGACATATTTTAACCAAATTATTTTATTGCTACAACGAAATTTTCGTTTTCACGCAACAATACATTTTTCCTAGTGCATGCACGCGGAGCCTGGCAAAGTCGGCGGGAAACAGTTCTCCACGTGCCTCCACGTAAGAGCCACGTCTCAACTTGTCGCGTCGACTTCGTGATCTTCCGGAGTCTCGCATTGTTCGCATGACAAGGACCATCGAGGATAATTGCTAGAGAGAGAGAGAGAGAGAGAGAGAGAGAGAGAGAGAGAGAGAGAGAGAGAGAGAGAGAGAGAGAGAGAGAGAGAGAGAGAGCTAGCTATAGCGCGAGCCGCGAGTACGCGCTCTCGCTGAGCGGAAAACAAGCCCGCAGCGTGGCGTCTTCCCGCGAGAACGCGTCGCGCGCGAACGGAGCCGCTCCTCTCGTATTATTCGGCCAACAACAATCTCCGCAAACGACTCACCGCTCCTTCCGGTCGGCGTCGGTGCGGACGTGGACCTGCCGGTGGGCTCCGGGATCGGGAAGATGAGGTCGCAGCACTCCCGCTCGGGGAATTCGCTGGCGCGAGCGCAGCAGGAGAGTAGCGCGACCAGCAGCATCGTCAGGGCCGCCAGTTGCGGCCGCGAGCGCGACCCGAGCGTCCCGAGGACGCGTGGCATGACGACGCGCGTCGCTAGACCGTCATGCTCCATCGCTCCTAGCACCGCCAGTCCGCCGGGAGCGAGGACTCGAGGACGAGCGATCTTCCGCCCGACCTCGCTCGCGGCATCCTCCCGCGTGCCGCGGTACCACCGCTCGGTCCCCGAAGAGCAGCAGCCGCCGCCGCCACCGCGAGTCACCTCGGCGGTCCCAGCGGCGCGATCGTCATCGTCATCACACATACACAGCGGAATCCTACGCTCGTGATAAGCCCGAGTGTCCGGCCAGCGGAAGCGTGCGATCTGTCCGCAGGATCGATGGCGTGTTAGGCAACGGCTTGGAGAGCCGCGGCTTTTCCTCGCCTCGCCGCGATCCTCCGCGATCGCTCTTGAGATGTCACTTGGCTCTCTGTGTGTGTGAGCTTCCTCCTGCCTTCCTGTATCGCCGCCCTTTGACTTCCTGTGACTGTTTCTCAGCCAGACGGCACTCGGTGGAGCGGAATAGCTAAACGCGCAGTCGAAGGACTCGGATGGCTCGCAAAAGCGCTCATCGAGGTGCGACTGAGGTGAAAGAGACCGACCGACCGTCTTTCCCTTCCGCGAGTCTGGCCTCGATGAATCGAAGCCCGGCGAATCTAGTTTTCAGCGGAGTATCGAGTGGACAGGGTTACGCGACTGCTTCCGACCATTCGGCGAATTGCGATTGAGATTCTTCGCTCGGGAACGTGACACTCGCGGCTGATTCGCCCGACGTGGAGGGTACTCCTCTTGATGCACCGTGGGTCGGATACAAGATGGAAGCATCGAAACGCTTCGTTGGAGTATCCATCAAGTTGCCACTGCAAATGATCTCGTTTGCTCGCAACTTCAGCGTCTATAAATTTTTCGCGGTGTCAACACTTTTTACGCGCACGGCGGCGGCGGCGGCGGCGGCGGCGGCGGGAGGTCAGAACTTGGTTCGTCTCGCGAAGATATTTCAGCGAGACTCCGCCGCGAGAGACGATTCGCTCGCGAATTTAGGATTTATAGATCGTCCTCGCGATGCTGAGGACGACCGACCACGTTTCAGCGAGACTCCGACTGAAGGACCGGAGGATAAGTTCTTCGCAATAACGCCGTCCTACGCTCTTAGCTGCGAGACGTCCCTTAGCACCTCGGCAGCGAGGACTTTCTTCTCTGCTTCTATTTTTTCGTAATTCTCCGTAAACTTCGGATCTACGAGCACACTTGGAGTATCTTTCAGTGTATCGAGTTTAAGACACTTCCGAAAAATATTGCACTACTCTCCACTACACTGATTCCTCTCTCACCCTTCGAGATACAAGATCTACAAATCCCTCGGAGAACAGCGAGGATCTCTTGAGCAACGCACGACTTTGATTGGAAGAATATCGAAACTGTAAAAAGACACCTCTCTCTTCCTCCTCCTCCTCCTCCTCTCTCTCTCACCTTCTCCTCTTCTCTTTCTCTCCCGAACTCTTTCCCAAAAAACCAAGGATCTGGAAAATGTTCCTTGAGGTAGCGAGGATCACGCCGTCTCGTCTGACTCACCTTCATCGACGGATCGCAACACACGCGCGCGCACACACCGGCGATCCTTCCCACGAAACCCGAGAGCCGATCTTCCGTCTGAAGGTCTGAAGGACCGAACTGCGAGATCGACCCGCGGCCGAACGTCGATCTCGCTGGCGGACAAGGTGTCCTCACGGTCGCCTTCACTGCCGGGAACGTCCGGTTCGATGACGCTTCACGCCGGCGGTCGTCATTCTTTCTCTCCCCGTTCGTCGTATCGACCTTGCCCCCGAGAAATCCAGCAGCCGACCGATCTCGCGTGAGAGCGCCGAGCGAAATCTTCTTCAGCTTCGCGCGGCTCACAGCTCTGCTCCTCAAGGATGCGCCGCTTAGCGCGAGGGAAGCGGCCGCGGTGGTCTCGCGAGAGCCCGGAGAGAAGAACGTTCGCCCGAGGGATCCTCGGAGAAGGATCCCGGTCCTCGTGGAACGTCGCGAGGAACGGCACTTCGCGAGCGCGCTTTCGCGTTCCGGAGTCGAGAGCGCGGCGTCGTGGCGGCGTCCCGACGCCCAATGACGCCGAGACCGCTCGCCGTACGAGCGAGGACCGCCGCGAGGACGCCCACCCCCGTCCACCTCCGCATCCCTGCTCGTCGACACGCGATAGCTCCTGCGCACGAACTGGAGCTGGCAAGCTCGCCCGTGTGCGTGTGTATGCACGTGTATACGGGGTGTCGCAGACTTACCTACCTACCTACCTACCTACCTACCTACCTATCTATCTACCACCTACCCACCTACCCACCTACCCACCTACCCACCTAGCCGCCTAGCTATCTCCGCTCAGCCGTCTCCGCCGGCAGGTAGCGGAAAGTAGGCTACGTGTACCGCTGGTCCAATGCTGCGGTGTCGATAATTCACGGGAAATCTTAACGAAAGCAATCGAGCGGCTAAGGCCCGGTGCTAAGAAGAACGAAAGAGCGGAAGGCTGAGAGGCGAGGAGCTCTCTCGAGTGCTCAGCACTTTTGCGAGACTTTTCATCCACGGGAATAATTTCCGACACGCTTTTTATCGCTCCGTGCGCGCTGCGACCGCAGCGTCACCCTCCTGCATGCTCGCCTAATTCCGACTTCCCTGTTTACGTTGACGCAACGTTATTTCAGTCGAGGAATCGGAGTCGGCCGTGTTGAACGTTGAACGCGCCCGGGACGCCTGCAGGCGCGCCGGTGATGGTCCACCGTGATCATTTTCCAGAATAATTCTCCGCTCGACCGATAGACCGAGTCTCTCGGCCAGTTGGATCTCGGCGGCGTCGACGCGCGACAAACTGCATCCGAGATTATCCGAGGAGCTATAATTAGCTCCAGATATTAATACGCGTCGTGCGATGTGCGTTTCATCGAACGGCACTTCTGCCCTTTGCATTTCTCCGCGCAATCCCACCGCCCAACGCGGTTCTCACGAGCTTCCAGCCGAAAGAATCAGACAGCAGGAGACACTGTCCTTCCGCGACTACAACGCGAGTTCAAATCACGAAATCGGATCCGATCGGATCCCATGTTTCGAATGTAGGAAACCCACCCTCGTCCGGAACTTCTCGCGAGAGGAAGCTCAAGCGGGTCGACGATCATCCCCCCCCCGCTAACTCACGAAGAATCGTAAGCTGCGAGAGAGACAGAGGGGGAGAGAGAGCGAGAGAGCGAGAGAGCGAGAGAGAGAGAGGGGGGAGGGAAACGCAATAAATCCGGGACACCCCGTACCTGCGGGCGCGCGGGCGCGCGCTCAGGTGTGTGCGGCAGCAGCGCGTTGCAGGTGTGTGCAGGTGGAGTGCCGCGACGGTGTCGTTGTCGTCGCGTCGAATCGAGCCGAGCGGCTCCGAGCGAAACGGGCGAACTACCCCCGGCTGGCGGCAGCAGCTAGGCTGCCGCCGCGCCGCATCGCGCCGGTGGGCCGCGAAGCAAACGCGACCCTCGTTCGGCATCGCGCGCGCCGTTCCTGACCTCGTTTCGCCCCAGCTTGCCGAGGTCGGTTACGCGGAAGTGGCCGTGCCGCGCTGCGCCGCGCCGACGGACACTGCTACGGTCACTGCTCGTAGCCGGACTGGGGATGTTTAAATATAACGGGGTATTGATATCCCCCCGTTTGCTCGCGCGCACGTTCTCGGTATCGGAGTACCGCGAGCGAGCGCGCGAGCTCGACGATGCCGCGCTCGATATCTCTAGCTGCAGACGGCATCGAGACGGTATCGCGCCGCCTCGGATCGAGGGAGAATGTCGCCGCGACGATGAGTCGATGGGGACGGCGGGGGTGGTGCTGCGATACGCGATGATGAAGAGCGCGCGCCGCTGTCTTCCGGAATGATATAGGTCTTTAGAAACGAGGTGAGAGCGCGAAAGATCGCAAGCGCGTCGTTCGGTATCTCAAGTGCGTCGATATCTCCCATTCGCGACGCGGCATGCCGTCGCAGCTATCGCCGTCTTAATATCGAGATATTTAATATCGAATTCCGTGTGAATTTCGTAGGCGTGACTCGCGGCAATATCAGACGGCTGCTGCCGCACTTTGGAGCGCCGCACCGTCGGACGAATCGTGATTATCCGTTTGAGGGGATTAGCGAAATTGGCGGGCGAGATGGGCGTGCGCGCTGTTTCGTCGGAGAGATTACAAACGCGCGCAGTGAAAGTCGGGAAGGCCATATAAGCCGATAAGTTTCATCGTGAAAATGTTATTTTTTATAGGATTTGCTCGTATGATACGTTCGTATTGTGCTGAAAACTCCGTCGAGCTTGTGAACTGTTTTCGAAAGCCGTGAGAGCTTGAATTTTCATATCTTCTCGGGCGATGTAAAACTTTCAGCGAAATCAATTGAGAGAAATGAATTATGGAGCTTCTATCCGACAGAAAGCGCCCCGTCAAATTAGAAGAAGACACCGCTTCTCCCCACGCGAGAGAGATGATATCTCCGGTTAAAAATAACCGGACTCCTCCGCAGGATAGGAGGGCGTTTGATCCATATTCTTACCGCATTATCTGCCGTTTGACGCTATAAACGCCATCTAAATTCTATCGACCTGATAATGGCGCACAACAGTGAGCATGAAACAGCGAATCGAACGGAGTCGAAACCGCTTGGCATTAAACGCGTTGTGAAAATAGAAAGAAAGAGAGGGCCAGCGAGATTCTTTTGCTCGCCGCACCGATCGATGCTCGGATACGAACGCGGCTTTATTCGCGCGCAAGATGGAGCAACTTCGCGCAAATAAATTTAATCGAACATCGTTGCTCCTCGCGCTGGCCGACGAAAGGTTCGACATGGCCTGGAATTTAGCCGGCGCTAAATGTACACGCGCGATGCATTATTGCGCCGCAGATTCGACCGTCGATAACTTTTCATCCCGCGACTACCGCCGCGTCCCGCGAAATTGCTGTCCGAAATCACGCTGCAACTTTTTCGGCAGTGCGCTCCAGTTTTTCATTCCGCCCCTTTCCTTCTCTCTCTCTCTCTCTCTCTCTCTCTCTCTCTCTCTCTCTCTCTCTCTCTCTCTCTCTCGATCGATGAGCGCACTTAACCAGGGAGCGCTGCACTTTTGACAAATCGGCGCTCTCACGACGTACCAATAAGAGTTGCACGCTTTCCCGCGATTCTTCACTCTTGTTTACTCGCCAGACGGAGCTATTACATGTTTACTTCACCATTCGTCATGTTTCCCACTTGCTGCCATCTGCGCTCGAATCTACTGATTGAATGATCGTTGATGATACCGATGACTGTTGAATGACTTACACTTCTCAATAATAGTAGTAATAATATTTTTTCCATGGAACGTATCCAGGGAGATTAAACGTTAAAGTTTCATTAGAAACTCGCAGCGGGTTGCATTTTGGGCGGGCGATAATCGGCGAGAAACCTTTGGAACACCCAATTTGGCGCGCTCGTGCTCGACAAGCGATCGAAGCGTGATGCAACCACGTGCGGAACGCCGGTTAGAGTGCGCTTCGCGAACGGAAAAGAAGGCGCATAGCGCACGATCGTAATTCAATTGCGTCCATTAAACGCGATTGAGCCAATATTGGCGCACGGTATTAACTAAGTTTAATTGCTAGATTCTAATTGTTTGATTAGCTGAGTGCAAAAGTACCGCTGATGAATCGCGACGTATCACTCGGCTCCCACGCTCTTCAGCTGATCGCGATCGTATAAGACTCGAAGGTTCATACGCGACATAACGTCATTGACGCCGCGTTCTTCCCGTTAATATCGCGCGTGATTCTTCAATTTCTTCCGCCGCTTTCACATTTCGTCGTCGCGCTTCGCTCTGACAGTCGACTCGCTCGACGAAAACTCGACCGGTCGCTGAGCCGAATCGTCGGAAGGCTCGTCGAGGCGCAATTCACTCGTGCGATCAAGTTGAAAATTAGATATTTGCGTGATTTGGTCGTTTTTATATCTATGAGTTGTCGGAAAGCAACAGCCTGATAAGAAGCAAATTCTTCGTACAGTTTGGCCTCGCTCAATTCTCGCAGTTCGGGAAGCCACTGTCGGATCTCACATTTTTTAGCAACCTACCCTTTGACACATACGAAAAAGTTCTACTTCGTAAAAGATCGTAAAAGTCATTTTACGGAGAACCGTCCAGGTTATCCCGACTAGAAATTTTGGGTTCACATTAGGACCTTAATGTATCAACCTAGTGTATGATATAATATGGTTGATCAGGTCTTATTCATTGTACCTAATATGATTTGCATTATCAAGTTTCAACAAAACAATTTCTGGGTGTCATTTCAAATATAAAGATGTTTGTCATCCCAAATATAAAGATGTTTGCATTGAGAAAAACACTTCAGATCACTTGAATATATTTGTAAAATGCTACAAAAACTATCCTTTTTTTAGCAGTCAATAAATAGTTGTAAAATTAACGTGACATGCAACTTTTCTCTTGAACACTACTTTATGTCTTGTCACCTTGTGATACTTCATGATCTTATGATATTCATTTTATATTTCTTTTCCGAAACATTTTACAAATATGCTCGAGCGATCTTAAATATTATTTCATGCAAATATCTTTTTATTTGGAAATGACATGAAAGAATTTTCAGCGAGTCATTTCTTATTTCTAATGTCATCATCCAATATAGCCGTGGCGAGTAATCAGGAGCCATAATTTGAAAAAAGAAAAAAAACGTAATAAGGATTCCATAAGGTAACTCAATAAGGATCTGACTTTGAATCCTTACTAAGATCCTGATATCCACGCTGCGTTACATGACTTACTAAGACCCGATAGTATTACCTTATTGATGTCCAAATGAGGTTAACCTGATCAGGACCATGGGATACATTTCTAGTTGGAATAAGGTTATAAGGGTTAATCATCCGTTGCTCGTCGCGCGTGGAAATCGGTGAGCAAGGCAAAAGTGGTGCTTGAGATTCGACAATATGTGTATTCTTCGTTGACATCCGTTCCGGTGAGACATGCGGCGACTGGCTGAGCGGGAATCTCGTATCATCGAGTAGTACAAGCCACTCAACGAGTCAGACTTTGCGCCAGTGGAACGAGAGCGTCCCATCGAGGCGGGACCTGACGTCGTTC